TGAGGGGCGTTCATTGCATAACAAATCGAAGAGTGCCGGTTATCGGGCCTAAGGCTATACGTGTGGCAGTCAATACTCGTGCCCAATATATGCATAAGTCGCACCCAAGGTTAAATATGTATATAAGTATATATGTGCCTGTGTGTGTATGTATTTTACTTGTGCCTCGCTAAGTTTAACACTTCTTTCGGGGCATGCAATCTTATCAACAGTGTGCCATTATTATACAAGTTGAGTCGCGGCGGTTATTTACACAATTTTAAAATGAGAAGGCATAAAAAGAAACAAACGCACTCAATATACCCTATAAATGTTTGTTCGACTAAGAACAAAAGCAAGAATGTAGCGATAAAACCGATTTCATATAATCTCGACTCGAAAGCCAGATAAGATTATGAAAGTACCCAGTCGTGCCAAGGGTTAAGTTGCTCCGATCGTAAATTCATGTCGAGGGTTAAGCCATAAAAGCATTTGATGGAAATATTGACATAGTTTATTTAATTCGAATCGAATACATCAAGCAAGCCTTGACAGTCCAAATTGAATAGAAGTCAAATAAAATAAACAATTAAATGAAAACTGAATTTTAATGTATTTTTCAGGCACTTTTAAAATATTACGTGACTCACTGATGGGATGATATGGCGCTAAAAATATGCCAATTTGTGGGACTTTTTTTTTTTTTGGCAGCTGATAAGACTGTAAAGTCGGCTGATAATTATAGATAGAGTTCTGAATAAATTTATAGTGGGATGCATGCACTCATAGTGGCAACCACCTGTAACTGTTCAGAGTTCAACGACAGTTCATGGAAACTAAATAAATAGGCAGCTAGCCACATATACATATGTACATACATCGATAGATAGCTAGATGCTGATGCGGGCTCTATAGATGTTTTGCAGGCTACCGAGAGAGAGAGAGAGAGAGAAAAACACACGAAATGTAGGCCAATTTAGATGAGAGAGAGAGAGAGAGAAAGAGAATCTTGGGGGCACATAAACAAAAGTCAGTTCGAAAACTAAATGTAAACTTATCAGCGATACGTAAAATACACAATGCACGATGCACTCGCTACTCCATGTATAGATAGGCAGCTAGATAGATAGRCATATGCATGGTTGTTGTTGTTATTGGAAATAGTGCAATCAATCAGTGCAACTAGATTTATAGGTGCTGCCACACAATGGGGGGGCAGAGACTCTCTGTGGTGTGCCTCCGCGCAGGACACTTGGTTTAATGGCTCGTTAATTTGCTTCTTCTTCGAGTATTCGTGGAAGAAAAAACATTAGAGAACCCCTTTAGAAAGCAACAAATGCTCTGAACTTGAGGAAACAACAAACAGATTGAGTTTGCGGAGGAAGAAACTTGTTTTGCTTTTGTTTTCGTTTTTACGAATCGATTGAAAGTGAATAATCTGGCTAGGAACTACTTGGGGGAAGGGTATGTAACAGATGGATAAAGTAGTATAAGCTCTCTTTACATTTATATCTTTTGGCTAGTGAATTGGCGTTTCTCTTACATAGAATATCTTTATGGGGTAACTTCTAGTCGCAGAAATTTATATAATTTATTTTCTTCCTCTGCTAGAAAATTTAAAATTTCTAGAATATATAGAGTTAGAGTATCAACTAGTCGAGCACTCCATTAATACTTTCACACATTTCTCTTAGTTCCGACTAGAGTATCTCCCAGTCGGGTATTCCCTTTCCTTCCTTATTTTCATTAGTTTGGGGTTTGCAAACTGACGCCATCAACCGGTTTGAGAGTGGCTGCCTTTTTCAACGTTTGTGCACGTATTTTTTCGTTGTTTTGCGAGCGCCAAAAAGTATCTTCAAGATACACAGCGTGACTCACAAGCTTCGCATGTGCGTAGAGTGCAGCAGCAGCAGCAGCGGCAGCGGCAGAGAAGGCGCAGGCTTTCCATTTCATTTTCGAGATACATTTTTCGAAAACATATTTCAAGCAAGCACATGCATATATCCATCAAGATATATATATTATTA